TACAACCTAAAAACGCAGAAAAAACCCAGAATCAAACCTATCCTCTCATGGATCGATTTTGGGCGCGCTTCCGTCGATCTCCTACACAAAATCCACCAATACAACACGAAATCCAACCACAAACAACAATCAATTGCATCCTATCAATTTATTTACCCAGATAAGCCAAAGTCACGCACTCGCCTCGAATCTGGAAGAAAAATGAGTCGCGAAAAATACGAAGAACTCGACAGAATTCAAAGGATGTACTCCCTAAATCCGAAATCTCCTATTCCTCCATAAAGAACACGCAGAAGATTCGATTCCCAGCCTCACAAACACACTCTAACGAGTTCTAAGGGTCGAGCTTACAAGGAATTCAACAATGAATCCTGTTTCTACTCAATCCTCTCAATTCTCTCTACTTTTTTTCTGTTTTCGGCCAAAAGAACAGACAAACGGGGCTCCACGTTTATATATTGGAACCCTTGGGTTCCCTAAACCAATCGCCTAACCGAACGATCGAAAAACCAACCGTCGATTCTAAATTACCCTGTGTCGATCGACACACCCCACTCTTGTCGATCGATGCAAACCCAGAAACACGACTTCTCACAAGTCGACAACACGTGTGTCAATCGACACACTCACCCTGTGTCAATCGACGCACCAACCAAAATCCACTTTTTGGTTCACGGACGTTTCAGTGGCACTTGAAAAGTGACATTTTTTGAAATTTCTCTTTTTTTTCCCTCTATTAAACTTAAATCAAGTTAGATTTTTAAAGATTTAATTTGTTAAAATGATTTATTAATGATTTTGCAATCTAAAGTTGAAGATTTATCTATATTTACAAAATCTTTTGTAGTGTATTGACAAAGTACTTATGATATCATTTGGTTTCTAGAATGGATTTGAATACACGATTATTTTTCATTTCAACTTTTAACTATTTTATATGATTTTAAATTTGTTTTTGGGCTTCTAATTTAAAACAAAAATTGAAAACGTAAAAAATCTCAAATATTTAAATAGCATAATGAAATGGTAATTCCAATAAATCATCTTCCTCGTAAAATAATGAGCAAAATAGAGAGAGTTGACCTTGGAGAAGAATCATGCATCCAACGTTTTTGATAAAAAGAAACAGAGAGAGGAGAGATAGAAGATAATAAAAAAAATTACGTGTATCAATTAGTCGAAATATATATATGTACGAAACTTGAGA